GTGTCCCAAAGATCGTGAAATTTCGTCAATAATCTCGATAAGTTTTATTTTTACGACTGGCTATTTTTATATACGAACTTGGCAACCCTCAGCTCTAAATTTAATGAATTATTATGCTCTGTACAAAATTTAAAACCGAAGATTATTCTTATCACAGAAACATGGTTAACTTTAAATGATTCTGATTCTATGTATGATATTTTGAATTATTATCTATACAGATGCGATCGAAGAGACCGTGTCTGTATTTTTTTATCATCAGATGTTACACAACATTTTTTTGTTACTCCTCTTGACATTAGTGTCCCTAATATGGAATTATTAGGTTTAAAAATTTATTCTAGCTCTATTACTCTTCATTTAGTCTGTATTTATCGTCCCGGAGACTCTCAACTAGCTGAAGACACAATCCTTATTGAAAAACTTGAATATCTGTCTCCACTAGAAAATGTTATTATTATTATTGGTGATTTCAATTTCCGAGATATTTCGTGGCCAGTTACTCTCACTCCAAGTGATGTTGTAAATTCAAAAAATAAATTTTTGAACTTTGTTCTAAGCTCTAATTTACAACAACTTATAACAGATCCAACACGATTCCGAGTCAACAATATTCCTTCCACGCTAGATTTGTTATTTGAAAATGATAAACAACTATTAACTGACCCTATCATTCAATCTCCGATAGGAATATCGGATCATGCAGTCATCATAAGTCGTATACAGTTTAACATAGAGAACCCATCTCACAAAGATCATACTAGATCATATGAAATCATCGATTTCGATAACTTAAATCGTCATTTATCTACCATCGACTGGATAGAAACATTGGGTGACTCGGGAGATCCGGCAGAAGTATGGAATAAGTTCGCAACCGTTATTGCTACTCATAAAATCCAATACTCTAAAAAGAAGGTGTTTTACAAAAATAAATTAAAACCGTGGATCAACGAATAACTAATATCCTTGACATAAAAGTAAATTATGGCGTAAATATAAGCGATCAAATAATATTGTCGATCTAGATTATCACAAAAATTTTTCCAAGGACCTAAAGAAATTTATATATGAGGCACGAGAAGAATATGAAGAGTCGATAGCATGCAGCCAAAACTGTAAAAAATTATACAAATATATTAGATCTTCACTGTCATCAAAAGTATCCATTCCTTTACTAAACAAAGAAGATGAAAGTCCCTGCCAAAATAATTTCGAAACGGATGAACTTTTACAAAAGTTTTCACCAATGAACCTCCCCAGGATCAGTTAACAGATATCTCACCCGAAAGAATCCCTTCTTCCTTAGAACGGCTCTATTTTACTCCTAAAATTGTCAAACGTCGCCTTTTAAAATTAAAAAACAACTCTCCGGGTCTAGATCAAATATCTTCTCTATTTTTAAAAAAATGCTCCAATACCATATCATTTCCTTTGTCTATTATAATGTCTTTGTCTTTCAATACACACACACTACCCTCTATCTGGAAAACAGCTTCTGTAACACCCATTTTCAAGAAAGGAAACAAACTAGACTCTAATAACTACCGCCCAATCAGCCTCACACCCATAATCTGTAAAGTTATGGAATCCATAATAACAGAGCACGTTTCTCAGTTTCTCTTAGTGGAAGAAATCATTCCCAAACAGCAACATGGATTTGTAAAAGGGCGATCAACCATGACCAACTTGCTTTGGTGTGTAAATGAGTGGATAGTTTCATTAGACAGGAAAAACCTATTGACATTATTTAAATGGATTTTGCGAAAGCTGATCGTGTGCCGAAACGAAGATTACTACATAAGTTAGAACACCTTGGTATACGTGGTGATTTACTCAAATGGATTGAGTCATTCTTAACTGATAGAAAGTACTGTGTTAAAGTCTTGAGTGGGGTTCCTCAGGGATCAGTTCTGCGTCCACTCTTATTTATAATATATGCCAGTGACCCTCAATTCCATATCAAGTGCAACAATATTTTTTACGCAGATGACACTAAAATATTAACAGCCGTATGCATAGTCGATCGCCAGCGACTCGCCAGAGATTCATTTCGGCGCATCGCCAGCGATTCGCTGGCGATCCGCCGGCCAAAGCCCAAAAAGGTGGCGACGCCGGAGATTGTCACCGGAATGTCATTTTACGCAAGTTTTCATTTTCTTTTATAGGGATTATCACCGGTATCTCTTGCATTTTATTCATGATTCATTTCTTAAAACTCAAAAAATAATGAACGAATATCAAATTTTTCCCTATAAAAGAACATGAGAACTTGCGTGAAATGACATTCCGGTGACAATCTCCGGCGAGTCGCCAGCTTTTTGGGCTTTCGCCGGCGGATCGCCAGCGAATCGCTGGCGATACGCCGAAATGAATCTCTGGCGAGTCGCTGGCGATCGACTATGCATACCGCTGTTAGTGACCCGTCTTTGAACTTCTAACAGCTTCAAGATGACCTTGACTTCATCCATAACTGGTGCTCAGATTGGATGCTGCCTCTAAATACAAATAAAAGTGTAGTTCCTCCCTATTGGTAAAAATAATCCTCACCATAATTATTTTCTAAACGGTCATACGTTAGATAAAGTTAAATCTTACAATGATCTAGGTGTTATAATTACTGAAAATCTCAGCTGGTCTGAGCAGTGTCAAAAAAGGCGAACACGAAAATGTACTTATTAAAGAAAACATTCGCAAAAGTGTCTTTTCAAAATTCGATCCGGCTGTATAAATTATACATTCGTCCGATCATGGAGTACTGCGGAGCTGTGTGGTGTCCGGAACTAGTGCGGGATAAAAATATTAGAGATGAAACGGATATCCGGAAACTATCCGGTATTTGGCCTATCCGGCCTAAATTAAATATCCGGCCGGATGTCGGATAGTAGCTTAATATCCGGCCGGATACCGGATATTCAATAATTACGACACATTTCATGACAATTCCCTGAAATCAACTTTAATACATAAATCTTTTTGTGGTAAACAATAATAATTATTAATAATAACAAAATGGCTTAAAATTATGACTTGCTTTTATTTAAAGCTGAAAATGTTACAAAAACACAAAAAGTCACAAAAAACAAAAAAAAAACCTTCTGAAAACCTAAAACTATCTTTTAATAGTCAAAATTAATAAGTGGTAAATTATGGTGAATAAAGACCAAATTTTCAGAGTTTGCAGGCAACAGTCGATTTCGCTTGTTTTTGTACACTGCTACAAGGAGCTGAAAGATACAATTTGGCAAACTTGGTTAAATATGGATAGTGTTTCGAGTTAACTGACCAGCAAGTGTAAGGGTCGCGGCTGCGATCAATTGGAACTCTTCAAATAGTAGTCGATCTCGTTTGCAATTGGGTTTTTTTCCTGATCGCGACATCAAAACAATTCCAAAATGTGTCGTGACATTCGCAAGTTACATTTGAATTAGTTTCTCTGACTCTTTTAATAGGTATTGGAGACCCCGATGAACTACCGCTGTTAGAAGACGATCTTCCTCGGCCTGCTAATCGCGTTCGCTGCGCCTGCGCGACGTTCGAATCCTCACATCAGGCGCTTGACGTTGGACCGGATATTCGGCCGCCGGATATTCGGCTATCCGACCTTGAAGCTCCCCGGATATCCGGTATCCGTTATCCGGCCAAACAACTATCCGTTGCATCTCTAAAAAATATTCTTGAAAATGTTCAGCGCCGATCAACCAGACTATTTTTCGGACGTATGAGACCTAATTACGCAGAGAGACTACATATGGCTGAACTACAAACGTTTGAAAATCGCCGTCTACGGGGTGATAAGATAATTTGTTTTCGTATTTTAAAATATAATTTTGGAAATTTAAAATGTATGTTCATCGTGGACAGTGAAAATCGACTACGTGGCCATAAATGGAAGCTGAAAAAAGAACAATTGTTTATGAAAACGAGGCAAATTTTTTTATTTAATCGAATATTCTACACTTGGAATTTTCCACCGGAGAATGTTGCAAATGCTCCATCTGTCAATGTTTTCAAGAACGAACTTGATAATTTTCTATTTTTTAATTAACATTTCATTTGTTTCATTGTTTATTCATCGGTTGTACTTGTTATTGATTTAGTTTTTACTATTATTGTTTTATGTTCAGTTAATATGGGCTTATGGGTCTTATGGCCCTTGCTCTTATCAAATTACAATAATAATAAAATCTACAAAAAAACAGACATTATATCTACACTGTTTACTGTTCTTGAGTATTTGAGTGCTACTAGTTTCGGATTTTAGGGCTTATAATATTGTCATGCAAGCCGTTTTCAACCAGTCCGGTCCTGCCTCCGTTGTCGCCAGCTCGTCTGGAAGTCCGCTAACATGAAGTTTCTGGAGTTGTCCACAACTATCTATAATTTATCACGTTCTGAATTACAAGAACCAGTATTTTTATATAAATAGACGAACTTTTCCGTTTGAATTTAGTTGATAGAAAGAATTTGTTGTGTAAACTTAATTATGTATCTATATAAATTTATAGTGTGTATCTCTAGTCTTCATATTTATAAAATTTAGGTCTAAAAGAAAAATATAAATTATTAAAATGAAGAACACATAACAAAAGCGATGAAAGTCCCTTTTTTCTAAAAATGAGTTAAATACACGATAAGATTAAGAGTCTATAAGATATGCTGAACTGATTTACACAGCAATAAAGCTCATAGTTGCGGAGTTTTTTAAATAACAAAAAGGTTTACACAGCAAAAAACGATTATTGTCACGAGCAAACACAGCAAAAACGGTTAAGGTAAATGTGCAAATATGTGAGGAAGAACAAGAGCAAAGATATGATGTTTGAACAAAATGGCTACTAACTCATTTTCCTTCATATTCTGCTATAAGTGCATTTTGTTTTCTAAACTTAAAATTTAATTTGTAGAGAATTAAAACTTTTAATGACCGCCATCGTTTTTGCTTAGGACTCTTCTAATAATATTGAAAAACTGTCTCTTATTATGTTTTTACATTACAGATTTAAGAACATCTCCCAGAAGCGTCGATTGCTACTCCTCGGAAGGCGATCATCCTCTGGCTCTATGTTTACCACCTTCCCAAACTCTAATACAAGCGTCCAGAACTCCACCTCCTTCATGGAATATCGCTACGAAAAAAGGAACTCCGGGACTTATATGCGTGGTTTGCGGGGATACCAGTTCTGGAAAGCATTACGGTATTCTGGCTTGCAACGGGTGCTCGGGGTTCTTCAAGAGGTCTGTTAGAAGGAAACTAATCTATAGGTGAGTACCGTCTAAGTATATATGCATTAAAAATCAACTTTATAATCAAATCCTAAAGACGGATTTAGCCAAAGGAAGATTTAATTTAAAGTTGATTTTAGAAGAGGTGATTTCATAACGGTTGTCTTAACGTATTTTACTAAAACGGGCTTGGTATTGCTGATTTGTGTATAATTCTAACATTTATCGGAATTTTAGCCACAAAAATGTTAGATTTTGGGTTAAAAAATATTTTATATTTATTTTGAAGTATATAAATATTTATCTTGTATATTATGTAGATTGCAAAATGGTAATGATGCTTTATATTTAAAGTAACACAATACAACACCTTCGGATTTTTTCAAAGTATGTGAATGTAGAATTGAATAATTTTGAACTGATATATAATTATTCAATCAATCAATATTTAAATTACAAATAATTTTTGTGAAATACTGAACTATAAATAGTTAATTTTTTGTTGCTTTTAATCAAAATAAAGCATTTGTTTACGTTTTTTTTTTTTATTTTAATAGGTATGTACATGGCATAATAGAATTCTTATAAAAAGTAGTGTTTTACTCGTGAAACAATATAATATACTTTTATTTGTTTAATATCTACTTTTTTATCATTTATAATACATTTTAGATGACCTCATCCAAACATGTGACTAACCAAATTACAGTCTGTCGGCAGATAAATAAATATTAGAAATTATAACGTCTAGCACACCGCGTTACTTCTAAAAATCACATATGTTTTTTTTGTTCATTTTCCACGGCGACATTTTTGCGGTATATATCTATATAGGTATAAAAGTATAACCAACCGGCGATGGTACATAAGCTTTCCGATATTCAATTCCCAGTCCGCCAGATGATCCCGGCTGAACATCCCTCGGGAGCCACTCTATCAACTTTTATCCCGTATTCCTCTCTTTCAAAGCAAACGGCTCGGCTCGAGTAAGGCTTACGGGGTAATACCAATTCCACTAGACACGGGCGTACATAAAATATCGAAAGAAAAGAAACTATAAGTATACCGGATGTATCAGATTTTTGGACTGCATATATCAGTTATAAACGGTAGAAAATTTTTAAAAAACTAGGTTTATTATAGTTGTATGTTCTATATTTTTAATAACCTATACAGGATGTTCTGTGACTCGATGGCCATGGCTTAAGATCGTATTCCTTTTTAAGTTACATGTATATTCTTTATACACTTTATAAAAGGAAAGAAACAAGTAGGAAAACTAACATCTGTCGAACGAGGTAGAAATGTTAATATTTTATCACAGCTCAACAATACAGCTAAAACACTCTCTTGGCGGCAACGGTTTGCGTCGATTTCGTCGCGCATCGCTTAAGCTCCGCCTTCGAAGGGAAAAGACGGTTTTGGCGTTCAGAAGTGTACTTAGGTAAGGTGTTGAGTCGTGCGTATAATTTCGTTGATTGTATAATTTCGTGGAGCCTATAATTTCGTAGATTTTGTTTGAGTTAAAGGTACTGTTATTATTTTGGTGACTCTTTAGCTGTGAGTAGAATGAATGAAAAAAAAAGACATCATTCTGTTTGTGCAGTCAAAAGCTGTTTTAATAAGGGTTATAACTGCAAGAAAACATTCTTTAGTTTTCCCAAGGACCCAAACCGATAAGTACCACATTATAAGAAATTTTCATTGTTAAAAATATAATTTATACAGGGTGTCCCATTAGTGCGTTATTGTTCATTATTTTGTTGTAGACACGCAAGAAAGTTTTAAATAAAAGTTATATGGATTTGAAAAATACCTACATATTTTAAAAATATCTTTGGATATACAGGGTGTCACGTTTTTGCCTGGCAAATTAAAATGTATGTTTTTTAAATGGAACACCTTGTATTTTATTTTATGATGAAATTATTAACACCCTAAATTATTGTAAAGACGAATTGCTACAGAAAATTTTTATCAGGTATGTGTGTGGTTACCTTTTAATAAAAGCCTTGCGGATGCACTCCTGCGATACCTGTCTTAAATATAACAAAGATCACGTTGAAATAGATGATTTTTCTTTTTATTGCTTTTTAAAGGCATATGATAACGCCAATTCAGATACATTTGGAAATCTGCAACTGTCAAATGATGAATTTGTAGAACTAATATTCAATATTGAAAAGATATTTCAAAATAATTTTGAAGAATTGGCTACAAAAAATAACATTTGTACCACACTTTTAGAATTAATTAACCCAATACCCTTTAGTCATCCATGCTAACGTTTTCCAAAAGAATAACTTATTTTATTGTATGTTTAATCTCAATAACTAAAAAATATACTGACAATTAGTTTGACAGAATTGTCATTTATTTAAAATTTTAAAAATAATAGCAGTCGGTTGATCAAAATATGAACGGTGATTGGCGAATTTATTTTTTTTGCAGTGTTCTCACTACCTAGAATGGATATGAAATATATTCGTTCAATTGAAGGCAATAGCATACTTTTTCGTTTTGTAATCTGTGCATGGATATTAGCCAATCTACGCACATACTACAAAACGAAAAAGTATGTTATTGTGTTCAACTACGAATATATTTCATATCCATTTTAGGTAGTAAGAACACTTTAACAAAATTAAATCTACAAATCACAGTTCATATTTTGGTCACCCAACTCCTATTATTTAAATTTTTTTAAATAAGTGACAATTCTGTTAAACTAATTGTCAATATATATTTTAGTTATTGATATTAAATATACATTAAAATTTTTGTGCAGACTCGATAAATAATAGCATTTTTGTTTCTATTGTGTCCACATTTAAAAAAAAAATAAATTTTAATTAAACTACATGATACTAATTTAATTACGAGTATTAAAACTAAAGTCCTGAAAGTTTCGGTGAAGATGAAGACAGAGCATCTGCCTTCCACGCGAAAAGTCCGGGATCGAATCTAGGCCGAGGACTAATTAATTTTTCATGTTTATTTTATTTTATAAATTAGTCAACTTCGTAAATTATTTTAAAATTAGTTATTTTGTCTAAATAACCTAAAATAATTTTTTAAATTTGTAGATTTTCGTTAGTGGGTCGTAGAAAAAATATACTGACCATATCGAGTAGATTGTTCATATCACAATCAAACGATTGAGTTCTCCGCCTACGACGTCGTGCTCAAACTTCGTCTTTGTGTGATATGGCTATCATATCCACCCTTGTTGAACAAACTACAATTTATTTGTTTTCTTGGTTTAAGTTTTACATCAGAAATAGGAATTAAATTAATTTACTTTTCAAGTTTTCTTGTAAAAATCGATATTACTTTCTCCAAGTACAAATTTAGTACCTACCTAAAATAAGTACTAATTATGTTATATCTTGTAATATTGTAATTCAAATTTCACATTACTATAAAGTTTTAAAATTTCCTACTTTGGTATGGTCAGATAAAAATTGAATATATTATATTAATAAAAACTGTCAAAGTATAACTTCTACAAATCTGTATTTCAAATAATAAGAATACATCTAAATATAACCAATATTGTTAAAACAAAAGCACACATTCTTTATAATTCCAAAATACCATAGAGTTCCCAGACCTCAGTCGAAGCATTCGTTTATCTAGGTATAAACCCTTTGCGCGAAGAGTAACACTTGCCAGAGACACGGGGGTACCACTTGATTTGCATCCACGAGCGTGACACAATTCTTTAACAATTGAAGCCCTTGGTGTAAAATGGATCCAAGCCACAATTTGTCGTGAAGTGACTGTTTTAGCTCAAAACATTTGTTAACGAGGATTTTACTAGCCATATATAAATTATTTTACCTCTAATCCGAAAGATGTGCTATTTTTCGTAATATTTATATTTAAATAATTTTTTTAATTATATTTGAAAGATTTAAAACAAATTAAAAATGTAATTTCCCAAAACTTACTTAATATGGCATGTGACCAACCTTATTACGCCAAGGTTTTCAATTTTTTCAATAATAAAAAAATTGTTTAATACGGGCCCGACTTTTCCCTTGAATCTAACAGAGATAGCACCATTCCGTCTTGCTTGGTTCTCGACCGCCAGATCAAAGACGCCGACACGGAGTTGTGGAGCTGTATTGTATAAGCTGTGGTTGAACCATGTTCCGGTCAAGGTGAAAGAGTGCGTAATTCAATTTGTCTTATGTTTTAATTGTTAATTTTATTTAGAGTTATATTTATTATTATTATTTTTATGTTATCAAATATTTACTTACCCTAATGAACAAATGCTCGTGAATAAATAAAAAAAATAAGTAAATTATGTAAATTAATAAAAAAAATTTAAAAATAAATTTATATTTTGTGAAATTACGACAAGTAAGCCAGTACTTTTTACTTTCCTATCTGTATACAGATATAAGGAAAGTATAGGAATCATGATTTTTTTCGACCTCGAGTTTTCGACGGATTTTTACGTTTTGAGGTCCCCTGAATCAGTTTTGACTATTTTCGCGATGATGTCTGTGTGTGTGTGTGTGTGTGTGTGTGTGTGTGTGTGTGTGTGTGTGTGTGTGTGTGTGTGTGTGTGTGTGTGTGTGTGTGTGTGTGTGTGTGTGTGTGTGTGTGTGTGTGTGTGTGTGTGTGTGTGTGTGTGTGTGTGTGTGTGTGTGTGTGTGTGTGTGTGTGTGTGTGTGTGTGTGTGTGTGTGTGTGTGTGTGTGTGTGTGTGTGTGTGTGTGTGTGTGTGTGTGTGTGTGTGTGTGTGTGTGTGTGTGTGTGTGTGTGTGTGTGTGTGTGTGTGTGTGTGTGTGTGTGTGTGTGTGTGTGTGTGTGTGTGTGTGTGTGTGTGTGTGTGTGTGTGTGTGTGTGTGTGTGTGTGTGTGTGTGTGTGTGTGTGTGTGTGTGTGTGTGTGTCTGTGTGTCTGTGTGTGTGTGTGTGTGTGTGTCTGTATAACGCATAACTCATGAACCGATACACAGAAAAACACCAAATTTTAAACTTAAGCTTTGTTTCAGCGTCCAATGAGCTGATTAGATTTTGGGCAG